CGCCGGGGCCCGCGGGGGAGCCGCCCCCCGGCTGCTGTCGCCCCAGGGTCCAAGCCGAGGCAGCGTCAGGGCTGATCAGGGCTGCTCCATTTACCTCCCCCGGAGAAACAACCGTCACGTCCTGAGCAAACAGCCGTTAGAGACGCAGCCGGGTGAATTGTGCCGGGGCAGGGACACACACTTCCACAAACAGCCCCCTGCATTGCAACGCGCCCCGCAACTCCCCTCCTGCACACACACAAACACACACCCCCCGCATTGCAACGCGCCCCGCAACCCTCTCCTGCACACACACACACACCCCCCGCATTGCAACGCGCCCCGCAACCCTCTCCTGCACACACACACACACCCCCCGCATTGCAACGCGCCCCGCAACCCTCTCCTGCACACACACACACACCCCCCGCATTGCAACGCGCCCCGCAACCCTCTCCTGCACACACACACACACCCCCCGCATTGCAACGCGCCCCGCAACCCTCTCCTGCACACACACACACACCCCCCGCATTGCAACGCGCCCCGCAACCCTCTCCTGCACACACACACACACCCCCCGCATTGCAACGCGCCCCGCAACCCTCTCCTGCACACACACACACACCCCCCGCATTGCAACGCGCCCCGCAACCCTCTCCTGCACACACACACACACCCCCCGCATTGCAACGCGCCCCGCAACCCTCTCCTGCACACACACACACACCCCCCGCATTGCAACGCGCCCCGCAACCCTCTCCTGCACACACACACACACCCCCCGCATTGCAACGCGCCCCGCAACCCTCTCCTGCACACACACACACACCCCCCGCATTGCAACGCGCCCCGCAACCCTCTCCTGCACACACACACACACCCCCCGCATTGCAACGCGCCCCGCAACCCTCTCCTGCACACACACACACACCCCCCGCATTGCAACGCGCCCCGCAACCCTCTCCTGCACACACACACACACCCCCCGCATTGCAACGCGCCCCGCAACCCTCTCCTGCACACACACACACACCCCCCGCATTGCAACGCGCCCCGCAACCCTCTCCTGCACACACACACACACCCCCCGCATTGCAACGCGCCCCGCAACCCTCTCCTGCACACACACACACACCCCCCGCATTGCAACGCGCCCCGCAACCCTCTCCTGCACACACACACACACCCCCCGCATTGCAACGCGCCCCGCAACCCTCTCCTGCACACACACACACACCCCCCGCATTGCAACGCGCCCCGCAACCCTCTCCTGCACACACACACACACCCCCCGCATTGCAACGCGCCCCGCAACTCCCCTCCTGCACACACACAAACACACCCCCCCGCATTGCAACACGCCCCGCAATCTCCCTCCCGCACGCGCACACACACCCGCCTCCTGCATTGCAACACGCCCCGCAACCCCCTCCCCCACGCACACACACACCTGC